ACCATCTGCTTCCAGTTGTGTATACTGATGAAGAGGAAGAGAGTAGTGAAGAACTGGAGGAAACCCCAGCAGAGAGTCCTGGAAATGGGGCAGAGGAGACCCCGGGAACTCACAGTGCAGAGGATCAGTGGTGGTCATCACCCGCTGAAGAAACACAACAATTGCCTCCTTTAACTCCTGTGGTTTCACAAAGTCCCGGAACCACTCCTGGGTCACAAAGTTCTCCAAGGTTGAATCCAGAAAGTCCCTGTTTTGTGCCTGGAACTTCCCTTAAAAACTCTACTTCGAGGGCAGGAGTCGAAGTTCCACAGTTGATGTCCCAAGATCCTCTCCCCCAGCGAGAACTGAGACACAGCACCAGAGTGCGGCAACCCCCTAGGGCCCTAGTTTATGATAATATAGGAGAGCCCAGTTATGCCCCGCTGACACAAGCAGCATTTAAAATGGCCACTTTCCTACATGCACTGGCTGAAGTGGTAAATGTTAGTGACTGTTTACCCTAAATAACTAGCTAGCTAGGATGTTACTGTGCGAACTGTACTGTAGGTATGCTAAACCTTTTTCTGTTGAATTTTTGTTAAGCTCCCTGGCTAGGACTTGCCAGTGGAAGGCAAGTATTTTCAAGGGGGAGCATGTAGCCCGTGAAGTTACACAGGCTGCATTATCTGAAATGCCCAGTAGATGGCACATGGACTCAGTATGCTGTTAATAAAACATTGAGCTTTGATCACATGACTGGCTGAAATCAAGAGAGGAGTGTGGCATCATCGCAGGGCCTGTCAGGACTTCCTGCACAGCTCTGAGGGAGGAGGATTCTAAGAGTGACCACATGCTGAGCCAGAGAAAGGACATGTGAGAGACTGTAGCACAGAGATAGGGCCTGGCTGAGAGAACTTGTTTCACCCAAGATCACACCAGCTGAGAGAGGGACCTGCAGGAAAGGAAAGAAGACAAGCACTGAGTCCAGACGTCTGGCGAATCCAGTGAGAGGAGACTGCTGCTGACTGACTGGTTAATCGTGTTGTGAGGGTAAGCCAAGCCTCTCCCTGTATCACCACAGGGCACCTGTCTCCTCACTCACAGTAAAGACTCTGAGGTCCCGTGACGGACATTACACATCTGAGGCTGCTTCAGTGACCCTGTGAAGCAGGACTTATAAGGGCCCCAACTCTCCTATGTGCACCAACGGCCGCTAGGGCGAAGATAAGGGGGTGGGGCGCAGGTGTGCTGGTGGGTGAGTGAGGAAAATCCACATTTTGCATTGTTATCTGTGTTACTCTATTGTATTTTCCTATGTATGTTGGTTCAATTGCTACTTACCATATAAAGTTAGTCCCAGTTAGACTGTGTCAGTCTCATTGCACCAAGTATGTTCCCAGTGGGACCCCACATCCCTACCCCGGATGCTCCACTGGGTGGAGGCACTGCCGCAGACATGTACCCCAGCTCCCAGATAGCGGAGGCTCAGGATCCGCCTGTCAGGCATAGTGAGTTAACTAGGTTTGGGGACCCCAAAGACACTAGGGGGCACCCCCAAAACCCCGTTACATAACATTAGGACACAGGAGTATACAAGCACAATTTTATAATTAATAGCTTGTCAGGCTGTCATGACTTAGCTTTAGGCAAGTATGCGAGTAGGTAAAGTGATAGGCTAGTTAGACATGTAAAGCAACAGGAAAATTATGAGATGTATAAACTGTATGATTGTGCACAACATCTTAGGGGGAGTCTGGGACCTGGTGACATTACAGCTAATCTGTTCACAGTCCAGTTTCCCTGTGTTACGATTGCCCCCAGTCCAGCAGGGGGGTTGATCGCTTGGATGTCCTGGTTCCCGCTGTAGAGAGTCGAACGGAGGTCTTTCGGTAGTAAGCTGTAAGTGTAGAATATCCCCAAGCACGGTATAAGCATCAATATCCCGGATCCCTACAACATGAGTCGAGGCTGCAAGTTGAGGGTCAAAACAAACTGGCTTTACTGGCACATAGCATGACAATTTATGTGATTCCTCAGGTCCAAGGACAGCCCCCTGTGGACCTGATGGAATACAGGTACAGTACAGACAACTATCCAATCACAATACAGTGTATTATTTGAATTAGTACCCGCCCAGCTTGGAGATAATGAGGCCAACGGTTATACAATCTAATTATCTCCAAGCGCACAAAAGACCACGTTTTATTATGTCCCCGAAAACTGCATAAAAATCCATAACTTTAACATTAATAAAGATAAACAGTTCATTCTACCATTCATTTAATGGCTCGCGTTCGGATACATTAAACCTACGAATGGCGCTCCAATTCCACGAACAGAATGGGCTATTTCTGCCGTATAAAGTCCGTTCGGCATTTTGGATTGTGAGTCTCTGTTGGCGGCCATGTTTTCAGACGGTTTAGCGGGCAGCGGGACCTCGATTTCAACTCATGGAACTAAACTCGGGTATCAGTTCATGCGAAGTCCTGCTGTCTGTCTGGTTGTGGAACTCGTTCGGTACATGAACGAGGACCACCTGGTAGAATGGTACTTGAGCTGCGGTTAACCGCAGAAACCACAGGTTAATGATCGCCACGCGACCCACTGTAGGGGGTTGCCGTTCGGTTGATTGTTCGGTAGATTCCCTTCAGTACTTTGGGTGCGAACGTTGATCCCCCCAGGCCTATCAATTAGTCTGTGGTTAACCGCAGACCGCAGACGCCTGGGTGGTTAATGGCTGCCACACTCCGCTGGTCGGGTGGTCGACCGTTCGGTACTTTGCGGGGTGACGAGGTTAAGTGGCGGTACACGCCAGCATTTGGGGGGTCCCTCGTTCGTATCACGAATGGAGTCTTTATAAGGGTTTGTGTAATCCATTCGCGTTTTCCTTAGCTTAAACATATACAGTGGCAACAGTATCAATCGTTTTTTTAACAGTAACACAGTCCTTTCGAGTCTTTTGTAACACCCTGCTCTAGAGACATTGGTGCCACTGAAGAGAATCAGGCGTTCATCCGATGCTACATGTGAATTTCCGCTGGTTGACACTCCATATGTTCAGGATGGTGTCTTGTGTGCGGTGAGCTAAAGCCTGCTCCCAACCTCATGCCAGTGTTGAGTCCTGCATCACAGAGCCACGGACTCAGGGGCTCACTGAGTCCAAGTCCACCCCATTGTGTGAAATGCATACGACCTCGGTGGATAATCGCCGCCGTTGGTGGGTGGTCTCCCACTTGTGTGGGAGATGCTTTGGGGTCGATCCCCAGATGGCCCTCGGCCCAGTTGGGCACTTCTTAGGGGAAACCAGAGTTTGAGGAGTAGCTGTGCCCGGAGGGGCCTTGGGCCACCTCCACATAACACTTCGTTTGACAAGTTTGTAGCTTGCCTCGCAGCCACGGTGTCCCAAAATCTTTGGAAGATTTTATCCAGTTGCTGCAGGGACCGCTCTACAGCACCATGGTGTGACTGTACATGCTGCGTGATGCTTCCAGGAACATGACCATTTTGGTCAGAGTCGCTATGTTTGAGGAATGAGCTGTGTGCAGCTGCAGGGTGTTGCCTGGGTGAGTATAGGCTGGTGAGGACTGGGATGACCCATTGCTGGTCCAGTGGGGGTGGGGTAGCAAGGCATCTTTTTCCCACAGAAGTCTTGTCTCATGGTTCGGGAGAGCAGCTGCTTCCCCTGACTTCCGAGTGTGCAAGGCCTCACCGGCATCCCAGGGTTGTGTCCGTAGTGGGGCACCCCAGAGGACTCCACTCTGCTGCCTGGGTCTGTGGGATTCAAGAAAGGGCATTTTGGCGTGATGTGAGTGGGCTATGAGAGCGTATTATTCAAGCTGAACAGGAACTCTCCCACAATACGTCCGTTCCCCAAGCGGTTCTGGCCCCGCCCCCATGGTAGGTGTATTTTAACAGTGAGAGACAGAAAAAAATCCAGAAAAACGCATGCTAAAAAAGTTATAAATTGATAAATTGATTTGCATGTCAATGAGTGAAATAAGTATTTGACCCCTTTGACTTGGTGGCAAAACTCTTGTTGGCAATCACAGAGGTCAGATGTTTTTTGTAGTTGGCCTCCATGTTTGCACACACCTCAGGAGGAATTTTGTCCCACTCCTCTTTGCAGATCCTCTCCAAGTCATTAAGGTTTCGAGCCTGACATCTGGCAACTTGAACCTTCAGCTCCCTCCACAGATTTTCTATGGGATTATGGTCTGGAGACTGGCTAGACCACTCCAGGACCTTAATGTGATTCTTCTTGAGCCACTCCTTTGTTGCCTTGGCTGTGTGTTTTGGGTCATTGTCATGTTGGAATACCCATCCATGATCCATTTTCAATGCACTGGCTGAGAGAAGGAGGTTCTCACCCAAGATTTGATCGTCCCTTTGATGGAGTGCAATTGTCCTGTCCCCTTTAGCAGAAAACACCCCCAAACCATTCCACCTCCATGTTTGAAGGTGGGGATGGTGTTCTTGGGGTCATAGGCAGCATTCCTCTTCCTCCAAACACAGCGAAATGAGTTGATGCCAAAGAGCTTGGTTTTGGTCTCATCTGACCACAACACTTTCACCCAGTTCTCCTCTGAATCACTCAGATGTTCATTGGCAAACTTCAGACTGGCCTGTACATGTGCTTTCTTGAGCGGGGGACCTTGCGGGCACTGCAGGATTTCAGTCCTTCATGGCGTAGTGTGTTACCAATAGTTTTTTTGGTGAATATGGTCCTAGCTGTCTTGAGATATTACCAAGATTCTCTGTGTAGTTCTGGGCTGATTCCTCACCATTCTCATGTTCATTGAAACTCAGTGAGATCTTGCATGGAGCACCAGACCGAGGGAGACTGACCATTATTTTGTGTTTCTTCCATTTGCGAGTAATCGCACCAACCGCTGTCACCTTCTCACCAAGCTGTTTGGCGATGGTCTTGTAGCCCATTCCAGTCTTGTGTCTACATTCTTGTCCCTGACATCCTTGGACAGCTCTTTGGTCTTGGCCATGGTGGAGAGTTTGGGATCTGATTGATTGCTTCTGTGGACGGGTGTCTTTTATACAGGTAACAAGCTGAGATTAGGATCACTCCCTTTAAGAGAGTGCTCATAATCTCAGCTTGTTACCTGTTTAAAAGACACCTGGAAGCCAGAAATCTTGCTGATTGATAGGGGATCAAATACTTATTTCACTCATTGACATGCAAATCAATTTACAACTTTTTTGACATGCATTTTTCTAGATTTTTGTTTTATTATTCTGTCTCTTACTGTTAAAATACACCTACCATTAAAATTATAGACTGATCATTTCTTTGTCAGTGGGCAAACGTTCAAAATCAGCAGGGGTCAAATACTTTTCCCCTCACGGTATAGACGTGTGTAGTCCCTAATGTATGAATGTCTGCTTGTGTACGGACACTCAGAAGTGCGGCATACGTACTTTATCTCCTCTTTGTTGCCTTTTCCTCTTTTGCCATGTCTCTTCATCTCCTGACAATGTAATCTACCAGTAGCTGCATCAGTTGTGTACTATTTTGCATGTGTGAGAATACAAAATGGATGTTTTGAAAAATTTAGCAATACCACAGGATCTTACATGTTTGAGGTTTTTTTAATGTCACCCAAAAATGCCACTAATATCAAATGTACATGATCAGTTGGCAATACTTGTCAGCAACAATGCTATTTCCACAGTGTGTTAACTACTGAGTGTAAGTACAATGAGTGTAAGTATACAATGGGCTTTCTAGATTTGTTATTTTTAAGACCTGGCTGGTAGTGTAGGACTTGAAATTTTAAATATATAACATTAATTGATTGATAAAACTCTGCGTTTGAATAAAACATGTTTGGTTGCTGGGAGACGTAAACCAGACAGGATATCATCCTTTTTGAAAAATTACAAGAATTAACCCAAATCCACAGCTCTTGGAACTCTGAATGTTGGAGCACTCTTAGTGGTAATTTGTCTGTCTAAAAAAACGAGAATATTAGGTTTCTATTGGTAAAAATTTTTTTAAACAGAACTGTAGCATGATTGCCATTATTTTAATTGGTTTGTTCAATTTTTTTTTTTTTTATGCAGTTTGCTTTCTGAGACACTGTTTTGGTTTTAGCACTGTTTGTCTTCTGATATTGTATGAAATGTTAGAACAAAAATATATCTTTAAATGAGGTAGAAGTAGCATACTGTCATGATGCGTATTCAACATTTAACCATGTTGAGTTAAGATTGACTGAAAAGAAATTCCTCAATATTTTATATTCTTATTCAATGAAAAGTAGGTTATTCTACAAAATAAATTAAATAGATTGAAAAAGACCCTGGGGTCATTTGACTTGTTATTTTATTCATTACCATGCTAATGCCGGCATAGTTCATACACTTAAACATTGTATAAAATGGAATCTATTAAAGATTAAAAAGCTTTTGACATCCTTCAGTCAGAACATTATAGTCGTTCATCCTACTATTAGATAATCATCGAACATTAGAAGTCCGATATTTAAATGACCTCCCATGACAATTTTTTAAAGTAATCCAACTTCAGTCAGAGAATGAGATAAGAGATAAGCAAACTATGCAGTAAATGAATAATATATGTCTGTTATTTGAGGAATATCTGAAATGATAATAGTTTGCGTTATTGGCAATTTTTGTTACAAGCACTGGCATATTCACTACTCAAAATATACATTTATCATTTATTTATTACCACAATCACAGTCTTCGGGATCTAGGGTAACTTTCAGCATTAATAGAAATTTAGCAATATTTTTGCATGACTGGGTCTTAATCAATTTCACTTTTATTCTCAAAAATAAATCAGATACATATATTGACTCCTTAAGGACCAGTAATGGTCTATGTCTTGATAACAATCTTTATTTTTTTCTAGAATCCTATTACAAAATGGAATGATATGCTCACTTAAATTGAAACTGTAATCATGTATATTGATAATTAGACTTTTGTGCAATATTGCACTAAATACATATCCTTTAACTTTTTTTTTTTTTCTTGACCTTGCTATTTCTCTGGCCACTCTAAGAAGCTTTTTTTTTCTTGTTCTGTGTGACTATACTGCGGGTTGGGTTGTTTGCATATGACGTCAAGATTAATGAACACACTTTTGCTCCTGATTGCCTACATGTTTTTTGTGCATCTGGCCAAAGAATTCTTAAAATGGCTACTCTCAATTAAGCAATGGTAAACCAGGAGCTAACAGAAAAGAAAGATTTATTTATGTGTATTGTTGCAAAATAATACACAGATTATATTGGAGAGTAGGGCAGTGGTGTATCCTGGTTTTGTGCTGCCCTAGGCATGACAAAATTTAGGCACCCCCTGTAACGGATCACCTGGCACCCCGACTGGGTACCTCCGTTGAAAGATGCTCCTAGCGCTTCCAGAGGACTCCAAGCACTCCACCAGACACCATAAGCACCGCAGGCTGCAGCTATCTCCTTTCAGAACGAAGCAGGAACAAGCTCTTACAAGAGCTCAGTGATTATAGCAAGGGAATATGCCTAGCATAAACAATCACATCACAGTTACATCCCACATATACCCCCCTTATCCCAGAGAGGAAACTCCAATTATACATACAGTTAAAAACATACTTTCTACCCAACTTCTCATAACTCCAAAACCATACATCACATTCACATAAAATTACATATTCACAATCAATCCATTCAGGGAACAAATATATCTAAAAAATGGCACAAATCAGACAAGGTTCAAAGTTAGTAAAAAAGTCCTTTGTGACTAAATGAAGCATGGCTTTCTGGCCCAAACCAGTTTCAGAGTCTTCTATCCTGGAGAGTAATTCAATTATCTCCCAGGATAGACACAAGACTCCATTAAGCACATGGTTGCAAACAGACACAAAACACTTTAAGATACATAAAGTCACATTTACACATAACACACAGACATTTCACATATCCCCAGATAGCTGGGATCTGAGTGCACAATATTAGATGAATGGCACTCAGATCACACAAATAAGCCTTTCTGCAGGGGAAATAAACGGTTTAACCTGCAGGGCCATAGTCCAAAGGGAGCAGGCGAGCAACCAGGCTTCTCCAGTTCACAGTGGCGAGGTTGGTTTCGCCACACTTCTCTCCTTTACCAACTAGACTAACAGGGTATCTGACCTCCTGCCGGTCAGTGCCCTGGTTAGTCCAGCAACCCACCCACAAAACAGAAACAGCAGTACAGCCCACCCACAATAACTGGTTACTACACCTGGGTAGAGGAAAACTTTGTTCATGTCCAGGTGCCTCACCACGACTGTGTGGGCAACTGTTAGGCTGCCTTGGTGGGTTGCTGAGTGGGCAGAGACCAGCGGTACTCTGCCCTGATGCCAGTGCTACCACGGAAGTAGCCTGGTGGGAGCCTGGTTGTGGGAGGGAGAGACCGACTGTCTCCCCTCTGGATACACCGCTCTGTGGCTGGGGAACAGGACCGACTGTCCCTACCCCTTGTGCTGTAAGTGCAGAGACTACAGTCCCATCTGCACTGTTGGGGGGTGTAACATCTCCCCTTGCTGGGTTAGGCTGCCGCTGGAGAGAGGGTGTAACAAGCTCCTCTCTCTGAACTGTAAACTGCCGCTGGGGAGAAGGGGTATCAGGCTCCTCTCCCTGACACTCTCTCTGCTGGTGGAGAGGGGGACCAGCTGTCTCCCCTTTCATTATTTTGTCCTGTGGTTGGGGTGCGAGACTGACGGTCTCTGCTCCCTGCAGGACACTCTGCCGCTGGGGAGGAAGGACGGCACCTTCAGCTCCCTGGGGTACACACTGCCGCTGGGGAGGAAGGACTGCCCCTTCAGCTCCCTGGGGTACACACTGCCGCTGGGGAGGAAGGACTGCACCTTCAGCTCCCTGGGGTACACACTGCTCCTGGGGAGGAAGGACTGCATCTTCAGCTCCCTGGGATATACACTGCCGCTGTTGAGGAAGGACGGCACCTTCAGCTCCCTGGGGTACACACTGCTGCTGGGGAGGAAGGACGGCACCTTCAGGTACACACTGCCGCTGGGGAGGAAGGACTGCACCTTCAGCTCCCTGGGATACACACTGCCGCTGGGGAGAAAGGACTGCACCTTCAGCTCCCTGGGATACACACTGCCGCTGGGGAGGAAGGACTGCACCTTCAGCTCCCTGGGATACACACTGCCGCTGGGGAGGAAGGACTGCACCTTCAGCTCCCTGGGACACTGACCTTCAGCTCCCTGCTGGGGAGGAAGGACTGCACCTTCACTGCCGCTGGGGAGGAAGGACTGCACCTTCAGCTCCCTGGGATACACTGCCGCTGGGGAGGAAGGACTGCACCTTCAGCTCCCTGGGATACACACTGCCGCTGGGGAGGAAGGACTGCACCTTCAGCTCCCTGGGATACACACTGCCGCTGGGGAGGAAGGACGACACCTTCAGCTCCCTGGGACTCCTTTTTGGCCAAATCTACTACAGATTGCAGGTATTCTCCTACTAGTTTCCTGGCGAGCTGCACGGCTCTCTCTGGGGGGTTGGGTCCAAAGGTAGACAGCACCTCATTAACCTCTCTGTCAAACTCCTCCTGAGTGTAGTCATACGACATGCTTGCTCTGCTGAAGTTAGTTCTTTTGTAGATAGGGTCGCTGTACGGGTACTAGCGTTGCCCTCAATTTGTAAATCCACGAACTGTGTCTCCGAGCTGCTTTACCTCGCACTAGGACGCCATCCCACCGCTTGCCACCAATGTAACGGATCGCCTGGCACCCCGACTGGGTATCTCCGTTAAAGGATGCTCCTAGCGCTTCCTGAGGACTCCAAGCACTGCAGCAGACACCACAACCACCGAACCAGAGAAGCATATGAATCCTCTCAAGCAAATGAATGCTGTAGACAGTTGAATAGGAACCATACGAATAGGTTTACTCTCCTAGCAGTCAAACTGGAACAGCATACAATAAATCCTTCCCCCAATAATGAGGCGACACTTCACTTTGAGGGTTAAGCAGGAACTCCCTGTACTGTCACATACAGTCTCTTTTATTCCCAATCCACAAACATAGTACAGCCCACAGGGCGTTACAAAACAACCAATCACATCACAGTTACATCCCACATATTCCCTCCCCTTATCCTGAGAGGAAACTCAATTATA